TGGGAGGGGGCCGCGCCTGCCATTGCTGCAGCAACAGCCAGAGGATTTGGTAAAAGTCCAGCCCTCAGAGTTTTTGGAAGTTCCTTTGAAAAAGTCAGGGAACATTGTAAGTAAATTTGACACGACTTCTTGAAGCCTAAATGATGTTTTAGGGGGAGAATTTAGAATTATAGCATATGTAGATTGTGACAAAGTATCTACCATAAAGTCTGTGCGCTTCTTGTGCCGAGTAAGAAGAGGATTGGGTTTCCCTGCAACTCCATCACGATGTCTCCGGCTTGATATATGCTGCAGCAAAAATAGAGAAAGGACACATATTGTATATTGAGATTGCTTGGAAATTAATTCAGTCATAATTCAGTTTCCTTGGGCATTGTGTGGGTTTCTCACTTGTTTAAGCTGCAGCTCAGAGTTCACTCTGACATTGCAGATCTCACAGTGGAAGGTACGTTCCTGAGTGTTGGGGTCAGAGGACGGCTCCCCTCCCTGCTCTGGGCTGGGTTTAGGACCTAAACGTGGATATGATTTAATAGGTCCCAGTCCGCTTCGAGCCTCCAGAATAGTTTTGTGTTTGGTACCTGAGAACAATATAAGGAAAGGTCTAATCTATGGTGGCAATTAAGGCTATACTAAATTTAATACAACACTGACCTTGTGTTGACATAGCTGTTTCCAAGGTCAGGCATGAAATTTTGAATCTCTATAATTTAGGCCAACATGACGAATCCTTGTGCTAAAGACGTGCTAAAAATCATTTATCCCTACCCATCCACACCATGCAGTTTTTAACCTGCCATTCATACCACAAAGTGGCAGTAAAGCACCTGCTTTAGTTTTTCAAGCTCACATGCATCTTGACAAACCTGTCTTGGAGTTACCTTTGTTATGTGCCTCCAGCTGTGAGAGAGAATTAACAGCCACTTTGCACAGGGAGCAATAGAGAAGCTTCTTGGCTTTCTCTTCCTCTGACTCTCCTGGAGATAGGCTAGGTGCTGGGGATGGGGTGTCAGGAAGACCAACTGCTACTGGATCTGCAGGGGTGCTACTGAGGGCAGCAAAGGGAGAGGGGCTAGACGGCGAAGGCGAGCTGATAGAGGACAAGTGGGAACACTCTGCTTCTGCTGAGCTGAGCATGAGTGTTGGGAGGCGGCTAGGGGTCAAAGGTGACTCAGTCGAGTTGGAGGAAGACTGGGTGTCATCTGTAAACAGTACAGTGTTTTTTTTAATTTGTACACTGGTCATACATAGACAAGCATAAAAGAACTCCCTTTGTTGATCATTATATAATATTTAAATATGAAAACAATGCTGATCATCCAGTATTACTATTACTGGACTTTTTATGTGCCTTTTTGCTTGTTTTGCTATTGTTACAAATCAATATTGAACTGTATAATATTTTGAATCTCTGGAGTTTATCCAGATAAGTGTTTTATAAAATACTTTTGCAGGCTGCACTGCAGGCTCTTATAATTCATATTGGCAATACCTTTATGTAGATATTCTTTAACAGTCACCAGGGTGCAAGCACTTCTCTGTTTAGTTTCTTTTGAGTCACTTCACACAACAGCTGCATGGAGCATTTGTGTGACATCACAAACTCCTGTATGTGCATACTGTATGTAACATCATAAGTCATAGGTGATGCTCACCCTGCTTATTAGGATCAGGCTCAGGGATGGATGGCAAGGGGCCTGGTGGGGAGGGTGAGGAAGTAGGGGGAGGGTGCTGCTTATCACCATCTTGGAGACGAGATGTTTTGGATGTCTCGATCCCTTTCACTCTTCGTGCATGGCGGTTTCCCTTATAGTGGGCCTCAGCCTGGCTCTAGTTGAGGAATAAGACAAATCAGAGATTTACATGAAATTCACTTATGCTGAATCATTCTGCATGTGCTGCGATGGACTGACGACCTGTCCATGGTGTACCCCGCCTCTCGCGGGGCCCACGTTTGGGACTAAGTGGTTTAGAAAATGGATGGATGGATTCTGCATGTGCAGGCCTGAACACTTTATCCCTTTTTACTTATTGTCATCTTTATCTTTAAGTCAGAAAACTCTGAATGTGAACTTGTCATACAAAGAACGTGACAATACATCATGCTGTGTTGAATGTTGAGATGGGGGTACTATTTTGAAAGGAGGTGCTGTACAGCCCCAAATCAGAAAAAGTTGTGATGGTATGGGAAATCAAAAGTCATCCTGAGCCCACATGGTTATATTGCTTATAGAAGAGTGATGATTCTTGATACTGTGCCGTCTGAAGGATCGGAGAGCACAGTCTTCCAGCTCAGGCAGTGCCCTTGTCCTTTATGCACTGAAATCCCTCCAGACTCCTTGAATCTTTTAATCATGTTCTGCACCGTAGAAGGTGACATATCCAAATCCCTTCCTATCTCTCTTTGAGGAACATTGTTTTTAAACATTTCAATAATTCTGTCATGCATATGTTGTCAAACTGGCGGTCCTCGGCCCATCTTTGCTCCTAAAGGGCTCAGCCTTTCCTGGATGCCACTTTTGTACCAAGTCATGATTGCAAACACCTACTGACATCACCTGTTTCAAGTGGAATCATCATTTCATTGTTTTACCTCATTACTGTCCCGACTTTTTTGGGGATGTGTTGCAGCATCAGAATTGAAGTGACTGTTTATTTTGAACAAAGAATAAAATTGATGAGGTATTGCATCAAATAATGTGCTGCTGTGTTGTTTTCAATGTCACACAGGAAACAGATGATTTACAAATCACTTTTTTTCAGTTTTAATTTAGATTTTACATACTGTCCCAACATTTTCTGTTTTGGGGTTGTATTTACCTGCATGCATTCTTATTTTATTTGGCTAAAAGGTTTTTTGAATCATTTAGATCTCTCTTTAATGACTGTGGTAATTCAGAATGAGTGACTGTAGCTGACTGTAGCTACCTCGGAGTGGACCTGGAGATCCTGTGTATGAGAATGACAGACTGAAAACTAACTCTGCACCCCAAACTCAGCTCCACTAGACTCTTGGTTTGGGAGCTAATGCTACCTAGCAGCTGTTGGAAAATAACACAAACACTGCAGATGACTAAAATTCTGTCCTGTCTGTGCCGAAACTGAACAGTAAAGTGGATGTTTGGATGTAGTTGAAGCATCCGCTACTGTATATAGCTGTATTGGATAGTATTTATTTTTTTAAATTAACTTGTAGATGTTTGTAGTGTATATCTATATGATTGCTATTCAGCGTGAATCTCCCAAAATGGTGCATTTACCCAAAATTCAACATGCAACTTCACATTCTTTATTGTAACAGGAACTACTCCAGTGAGGGACCTACTGACACTGACATATTTTTAACCAAGTTTACTTCCTTGCATTAATAAATATGAAGCTTAGCAAACTCTTATATTTTTGTCCAACAAGGGCTGTTGAGCTTTTAGTTTGCAGGTCTGATGTGCTGATGATGCTGTCAGGGAAGATTACCCTCCAGAATATTCTCATCTTCCTTCACCACTGGTGTAATCACTGAACTGGCCTGTTGAGCCGATGCTGATTATTCAGTAGAGGGATTTTCTAAAATGGGCAGGAGGGCTGTGGGCAACCAGTGACAGTTGACTGTCAGCTATGAGAGAAAAAATTGAGCAAATCAAGAGTTTGTGTCGATGGATGTGTGTTTGCCCGCTTGTCCTTATGATCATACTTAAGAGGATCAGTTTAAACTCAGGAAATGGGAAATATGAACAGGTGTGGGCATTTTTGTGAAGTCCTTAGAGTCTGTGTTGCTGTTTATGAGAGGTATGCATGCTTAAGGAGCAGTAGGAGACAAGTTACATGTTATGCCAGACAGCATGTTTTTTTTTTTTTAATTATCCAATTCCTTTAGCACATGGTAACTATGGTCTGGTTTTTGACATAAATTGGTCATGAAATGTGATCTGATCTTCACCAAAGTCACAAATATCAACAAAAACAATTATCATTATCTTTCATGTCTTTATTGAACACACCCATTAAACATACAAAGTGGTGGTGGAAAAAGTAATGGCAACAGTATTTTAATAACCACCTTTGGGAGCAATAACCTCAAGCAAGCATTTCCACATTACATTTTATGACCAATTCGTGCAGAAAACCAGGAAACTGCAAACAGTGTCATTATTTTTTCTTGCAAATGTATAATGTAAGTCAATATGCATGATGCGAGCGACTTGTGTTGTTCGGTGTAGCCAAATGGGAACATCTGCTTAGCGGGAACATATGCTATGGAGAGACACAAAAACTGTGGCACAAACTTTATCAAGTCCTGGAAATCTTTCAACATTTACTGCCACCAGTAAAATGCATTGTGCACAGGAGTGTCATTAACACAGTTAATTACTTTTGAGTTGATTATGCTAAAACTATATTTAATTAGAGTACTGCTTCTCCTGAACGCTCTGCTGTCTGCCACTCAGCTCTATAACAACAATAACTGAATAGCTGATCTGCCTTTGTTAAAGATGATTTTCTATCCTCAGACAAGTAGCTGAACTGCACAGCCACTAGACTCACAACTTTAAGCTGCAATGTTCATCAACACATCTTGCACAGTGGGCACAGAAAGCTACGCTGTAACTTAATTCTTTCTTTTATGGCAAGGAGGTGAGTTTGTTTTATAATTCAGTATTGGCAAATCACTGTCAGTAAGTAAGGCAAAATCAAGTATAATGGCACACCCTTGTCTTCTGTATTGTTAATATATTTGTAATTGATCAAATTATTAACAGGAACCACACTGCATCCTATATATTCCCAACCCCCATGCCTTTATTCCATCTGGCCCTACAACAGGCTCACTTCCTGCAATGGCACCTTGACAGTGGCAGTGAACCTAAATAGTTATATGGTCCGATATGAAAATACTTTCTAGAGATACTGGGCTGGGAAATCAGTGTTACCCTCCACGTCCAGATATGCATGTGCATGTCAGTATCAGATGAAATCATAG